CCATCACGCAGGCGGTCATATTCATCAACACCCGAAGGAAGGTGGACTGGCTCACTGAGAAGATGCACGCCCGAGACTTCACTGTGTCCGCCATGGTGCGTGCTCTCCACCTTGTCCCCAGCGGTGGGGCCTTGGCGCGCCTCTCGGCTGCTGCTCGGCGCCCGCGGGCCCGTGACCCACGCCCTCCCCTCTGTTCCCGCTCTAGCACGGAGATATGGACCAAAAGGAACGAGACGTTATCATGAGGGAGTTCCGCTCTGGCTCTAGCCGAGTACTGATTACCACTGACCTGCTGGTGAGTAGGGGGACGCCGGGAGAGTGGGAAGGAAAAGGGAAAATCCAAGGTGATTCCCTCTCCAAGGGGCCTGCCTGTGCCCCTCTTCAGGAAAGTAGCAACTTGGAAGAAAATGTGGCATGCCTTAGGTTGCTGGGGGAGAGGGCATGTCTGTTTCCTTTGCCTGCCTTTGGCTGCCTACACACCTTTCATCCCTTCCGGCTCGATGCATCCCCCCCTGGTTCTCATGCTGACCTGTCCTCTCCCCTGACCTAGGCCAGAGGCATTGACGTGCAGCAGGTTTCCTTAGTCATCAACTATGACCTTCCCACCAACAGGGAAAACTACATCCACAGGTAAGTGCGGGTCTGGAATGTTCCCGCAGCTCGCCCTGAGCTAAAGTTCCGTTTCCCCTTTCCTTGATCGTCCCTCATACTGAGATGTCCTTGTTTTCCACCAGAATCGGTCGCGGGGGACGATTTGGCCGTAAGGGTGTGGCTATTAACATGGTGACAGAAGAAGACAAGAGGACTCTTCGAGACATCGAGACCTTCTACAACACCTCCATTGAGGAGATGCCCCTCAATGTTGCTGACCTCATCTGAGGGGCTGTCCTGCTACCTAGCCCTACCCAGGCTTCAGTCTAGGGGGCTGAAGAGGAGCAGGAGGGGGGAGGGAAGGGAGCCAAGGGATGGACATCTTGTCATTTTTTCTTTTTTTTTTTTTCTTTGAATAAATGTCACTTTTTGAGGCAAAAGAAGGAACCGTGAACATTTTAGACCCCCTTTTCTTTGGGGCAGGCTCTTGCCCCAGGCGCCGTCTCTTCTCCCAAAAACACTAATCCATCTCCGTAACCTAGTCGACCTCCAACCCCCAGAGGCTCTCCCCACCCCAGCTGAACGCCTCTGAGGAGGATTCAAGGGGCCATAGTGTCACTCAACCTCATTTGCTGGACCAAATCCGGAGAATGCGAGTTAAATGGCCCAGGGGATTGTCCCCAGGTGGGGGGAGCAGGGGAGAAAAAATGGTAGCCATTTTTACATTGTTTTGTATAGTATTTATTGATTCAGGAAACAAAACACAAAATTCTGAATAAAATGACTTGCAAACTGCCTGTTTGGGCTTCTCGTTTCTTGCCTCCCCTTCCCTCCCACCTGTTACTGGGCACGTACATCTCCGGCTGTGCCGCCCCACCCAGTCATCACCCAGTCATCACCCTTACAGATTGCCCTTGGGTTGCTTTTCCCCCCCACCTCCCTCCTGACACCGTCCCATCACTGGACATCCCGACCTGCTCTGGCGCCCGCCTCCCGCAAGCACTGTCCCGAGCGCCTCACGTGCCTCGGCCAAGAGGAAGCGCCCGGCGGAGGGGAAGGGAGAAGAGCCCTTTCACAATGCCTTGACCACCCCGCTTCTGAGAGCACTGGGGGGTGCTGCTGGCCCACTGGTCTGTAATCCCTTGGGGCCTCCACACGTGCTTGGAGGTAGACACATCCATGGATGGGAGACGTCCTGGAGGCTGGGGGCTCCCACTTGGAAGCCAGGGCCGTCCCCTCGATGACAAAAGTCCGGTGACTAAGGGATTGGTGGCTGGGGCTGAGGTGCCTGAGTCAGGCGGGGGGCGGACTGTCTCCGTAACAGGAAGTCAAAAGCTTAATTCCTCCTTTTCCAAACGAAGGCAGAGGGGTTAGGGCTGAGCAAGCAGCTGGGACAGACAGGACGGGCCCGGACGGACCAGGTGAGGCCGTTCTGTCATGGGGCCGGCTGTGGTGTTCTTGGGGGCCCTGGTGGGGCTGCTGGCTGGTAAGGAGAGCGGCCTGAGGGGAGGGGGCCCCCGGAGGAGCTGCCCACCCGCTGCTAACCAGTCTTCCTCTGCTGAAAGCCCAGGGGACAGGGAACGACTGTCCTCATAAAAAGTCGGCCACTCTGCTGCCATCCTTCACGGTGACCCCGACCCCGACAGCGACAGAAAGCACAGCAAGCCCTGCGACCACGAGCCATGGAACCACCACCAGCCATGAGCCCACGACGGCCACTCACCGGCCCACGACGGCCACTCACCGGCCCACGACGGCCACTCACCGGCCCACGACGGCCACTCACCGGCCCACGACGGCCACTCACCGGCCCACGACCACCCCCCGCCACGGAAACACCACGGTTCATCCAACAACGAGCAACAGCACTGCCACCAGCCC